AAATAGGATTCATTATCTGATTTTTCTTTTAATTTTAATTTTTTTTAATATGAAAAGGTGTAAATTTACCATATTATCCTCATTTAATTAATAATTTTAATTCTTAATATTTGGATTAACCAATGACATTTTATGGTATTTTGAATGTTTCACCATTCTCTTCCTTTTGCTATATATAGATGTATATATAGCTATACATATAAACCATAATTACATATAATGTCGGTATATTAAAATTAATGTAGGTATATTGGATGTCGTATAATGTACGTAATTTACCTATACATATTTTCGTAGTAGGTATATTATTCAAATGGTAAGTGTATTGGATGACATATAATACCTAAATCCTAATCGTAAGTACATTAAAATTAATGTAAGTATATTGGATGTCGTATAATGTAGGTATATTGAAAATAGATAATTATGTACACTTTTTATAAATTAAAAACAGGTACACTATTCATACTAGGTAAATTATATTTCTCATAAAACAAACAAGAAAAAGATTATTAGTTATTTTTCATAGAACAAGTAATAGATACATTAGTTTTTTCAACATAATTAGTATGTACAGTATTATTCATAAACAATTATAAAGTAGATTATTAGTCATGTATAATTCATAAAAAGAAAATAACATAAACATTTTCATTAAACAAACCGATTACCTAAATCTGTATTTATTGTTAAATTTTAAAAAAAAATGTTTCCAAATTAATTTCTACATCCATTACAACCATTTGGAGATCTTTCCAAATTCAACATATGTCATTATATACAATCCAATTAAAAACTATTTCCATATTGATTCCTTCATTAATATACAAAATGCAATAATAGCTTAGTTGGGGGTATTTTTGGAATCTGAAAAGTACAATAAATCAGATTTTATGATTAATTAGGTAACTTGCTGAGTTGGATCCTAGTCATGGGTTTTTATTTATACGAATTGGATATTATTTATAGGAACAAAAAGTGAAGGGTTGTTGGTACGGTAAATTGAATTTGAAGGATGTAAGCCAAATTTACTATAGTTTAAAAGAGTGCTGCTATTTCCACCCACCTATCCTATTTTCCCACCCACTTTATCTTCAAAATTTTAAAGACAAATTTATCCCTTTATAAAATGACTTCTAAGGACTTAGGAAAAAAAACATTAAAACCAATTTTTAAAATGAGAAAAAGATAATAAAAAAAACTAAAAAGATTAACCCCACCTCACCCCATCATCTGTCTCTTCGCCTACACCAGCGCACCCCTCCTCTATTTTCCCTCTTTGTTTCTTTAATAGTCACCACCCCACAATCAAAAGATCCCAAGCAAATCCACCCCCAAATTTTCAGTATTAATAACATGAAGGGACTTTTAACTGAGATTTGAATCAGCCCAGCAACTCTCAACTGTGAGAGAGAGAGAGAGAGAGAGAGAGAGAGCAGCATCTGGGTTGAGTTCTGTGGCTAGGGTGCTGGGCTGTAGGGGGTGAGTTTGATGGGTGGGGTGTGTTGAAATTGGGTGGGGGGTGATCGGGTAAAACAGAGAGAAATAGTTTTTTTTTTTGGAGTATTTTATATTGTTTATTAATTAATTAATAATATATTATTATTTACTTGGTGGGTGGAAAGATAATGGGTATTTTAGGAATAATGGCGGGTGGAAAGATGAAATTGTGTTTTTTCAAATTTATATGGTGGGTGGGGAAATAGGATATGGGGGTGGAAATAGCAGCACTCATTGTAAAATTGTCTAAACCCACAGTAAGATCCTTCCGAGGTGTAAAATAAAGTTATGTATTGGTTAAGAAACTATTATACTTATATTAAATACCTACTTAACTCATGCCATCTGATAGAACTTGGCATCCATTTGCAGATACAA